ATAATAGTATTAGCCAATAATTTAATTTTTACTACTTAGAAAACAAACATCAACCGATGTTTATGAATAATAAATAAAGTGAGAAATTTACTAAGAGAAGAGGGGTTTCACAGGGCTCCATCTTGGGGCTTTTTCTGTTTTGAATTTATATTAACGATGAATAATATACATGACAACCTAACCATCAACTTCAACTGAGTGGTTTAATTTTAATGAATTATACCTAAACGAGTGTAAAACCCAAACTTGCATTCTTTAAGACTGGTTGCACATCTGATGAAACTCAATGTGTTGAATTTTTCGGTATCTATTTTGATAATATGCGCTGGGCAGCTGAAATTGACTATATAGCAGATGTAGAATATACATATCAGAATCACAAATCACAAGAATGAAAGAAAAAGTAAGCACCTTGCAAATAGTGGCTCTTGGTAAAGAACAATTCAAAAATGTATACAATGAATACAGGGAATCATACAGACTACTTCTGAGTAAATCAAAAAGTAACTATTTCAAAATTATGATTGACTGATTAATGGAAAAACAGATTTTTTTTAAACAGAAGAAAGTGACAATAAATCAAGAACCGAATGTGATAAAAAAATACTCTCAACAACAAGGCAGGAAATACCAACACTGTTTTACCTAATACTCATGAAGACTGGGCGAACCTTGCAAACGATTGAAATGTCCATTTTGTGAATTCTGCACCAGCTATCGAGATTATTCACAACAGAGAAAATCCCATCCCTAGTAAAACAAACCACAACTCGATATTTCTTTAACCAGTGAGTGAAGAGGAAATAATCCAAGCCATTTGTAAACTCAAAAAAAAAATGAGCAGTGGTATAGACAAGGCACCATCAAAAATTCTAAAAAAGTGTATCCCGTCCTTATTACCAGTTCCATGTCACATTTTTAATGATTGCCTAGTATCCGGTACCTACCCAGATTAAATGGAACTGGCTGTAGTAATACCCATATATAAAAAAAGTGGACAAAATGACATGAATAACTACAGACCATTACTGGAGTTACTTTCGTTATTTTTACACCTCGACACGTGTTTCGATCACCAAGTGATCATCTTCAAGAGGAAGATAAAACTGAGTTTTATCTTCCTCTTGAAACTGAGTTTTATCTTCCTCTTGAAGATGATCACTTGGTGATCGAAACACGTGTCGAGGTGTAAAAATAACGATTTGGTGTTGGGAAAAAATCCAGTAATATTCATTACTACACCAAAGGTTCCAAACAGTATATCATAACTAAAGACCAATAAATCTGTTAACAGCTTTTTCCAGATTATTTGAAATTATTATATCAATGAGAATTATGAATTTTTTTGTAGCACATGATTTCAAGTTGGTAGATGAAATTCAACACTTAATTGAACAAAACTCTTATGCATATGATGTCTTCCTGGACCTCAGTAAAGCGTTCGACTGTGTTGATCACTCCATTTTACTTTGAAAGCTTTTCAATTATGGAATCAGAGGAAATGCCTTTAATCTCTTGAAATCGTATTTGAGTAACAGGAAGCAAAAAGCATATTAGGCAACAACATAATGATATATATACAGGGTGATTCAAAAGTACTTTGACAAACTTCAGGAGGTGATTCCTCACAATATTCTAATATGAATTGTCCAAATAAATAAACGTCCGGAAACGTTTCGTTTCCAAGATACAGGATGTTGAAGTTTTATTTTAATTTTTGTTTTTTTCAAATAACTTTTGAAATACTGAACTTAATTGAACGAAACTTGGTAATAGGAGGTTTTTGAGGTGTCGAATTCGAACCTGATGTTCTTATTGCTCTTACTCGTAGGGGGCGCCACCTACACGTCTTTTTCTTTTTTAAAGATTCATAACTTTTTTGGGCGTACTTCTAGCACATTTTTCAGTAAAAAAATCGATTCATCTATCATATCTACGTAAATAAGCTACCCTTGTTACTGTAAGTAACCGTTTTCTAAATATTTGGACTTGAAAACTTCAAGTCAAATATTTGATAATCGATGCATGTTGAAGTTATTACGAATATTTTGCTTTTTTCACAAGAATGCTTTAGTTGGGTTTTCCAGGTAGTTTTAATTGAAGCCAGTCATTACCAACCAAGAGTTTCGTTTTTATTCGTATCAAAGTTAACATCTTACATCGAAGAGTATATACACACTAATGATTCATTAGAATCGGGGTTATACAGAATTGGTTGCTCATCACTTATTATCTAATTGTTATATATTTGAACTGCAAACAGTTCAATGTACTGAAAAGGTTGCAGTAATACATAATTAGGTCTAGGTGAGTTTAATGAANACAACATTTCTACAGCATCCACATATTTTAATACTAATAAGTTATTGTTAAATACATCTAAAAGAGACTCCAATTCGTTCAAAATTGTTCACAAAAATATTACCATTCTGGAGTATTTTTAGTTCGGTAGTGATCATACTGATCTTCCTTTTAAAGATGATCACTTGGTGATCAAAACACGTGTCGAGGTGTTAAAATAACGGTGTTAAAATAACGACCATCTTTGGAGCATAAACAAACCCAGGCAGTTCCGAGAATTTCGACCTCAAGTGCGATTTAGTAATACTGTGTGAGCAGGAATTTAAAAAGATAGAGTTTTGGGTCCCCATTCATTTGACGGAATTCTGAATGGAGAAACCTATCACCAATTTTTAATGTCGATTTTCGTAGACTATTTCGATGATCTACCTTTGGCTAACTATAACAACATCTGGTTTCAACATGTTGCTCCACCGCACATGTTGCTCCACCGCACACTACCAGACGATTATCTAATTACCTGACTGAGAGGTTTGGTAATAAATGGATAGGGAATAATGGGCTGGTGGGTGGCCAGCAAGGTCTCCAGACTTAAGTGTTATGGATACATTCTAATGGGGTACACTGAAAAATAGAGTTAATGGTGAGAGGGAATATCAAAATATTAAGGAACTTCAACAGAGCATTATTAGAGTTCGGAAGATTGGGGAGGAAGGGAATTAATCGTGCTGTGAATAATATTCGAAGAAGGGCACAGTTGTGTTATCATGAACAAGGCCAGCATTTTGAGTATTTGCTGTGATTTACTTTTGTCTTTACATTTTAGTTAATTATTGTTATTTGTTCAGAGTTCTATTTTCATTGAAAACGACACAATGTCTAATTTACCTCATACACACCTCATTTATCAAATTTTGATTGTTGATTCTGTCTCCGTATTTTTTCACCTGCTTTTCGAATGAACCAAACTCAGTGAGATTTTGATCCAATAACTCGAACATAGTTCAATGTGGTTGGCGTCTTTCGGGATACAAGTTTAAATACATTTCCGATGTCCTAACAGTATTTCTATCGTATTTGTAATAAATTTGTATCATATCTCTTTTTTCTTCATTCGTGAAAGCCATTTTTCAACAAAAATTCAATGATTTGTACAATAACAAAATGTCATCGAGTTTAACAAATTGAAAGTCAAATTTAGAAACATCAAAGTCAAAGCTTATTATGAAAAGAATTTTTTTTTCGATATCTCCAATTTTTCGAAAAAGAATGATAACTTATGATATATCATTGAGAAGGTAAAATCTGGTTCTATTCAAAACAGAAAGAATCTAATGTAGCGCCCATAAGAAAAAATAAAGTTGATGGTGATGACCGGAAGACGAAACGTCGGATAGCAAATCTGAAAACACCATTAGGTAGCAGGGAAAAATTGGCGCACTGTGGAAGTGCAATTTATTTTCGAATCCTTCAAAAAAATTTCAGAACTTTCTCAACAGCATATTGTTAGTCAGGTAAATGCGCAACTTTGCCCCAATTTGACCATCTTTGCAATTTAAGATATGTCTTAATTTTTATTTTAAATCCTTGGTGGAGTCCAGTATCAACTGCTCTATAACCTTAATCTTGACTCCGGCTGTGAGCGCCTATATACTTATATCTATCAATCAATAGTACCCAAAAATATGCAACTTTGCCACAATTCAATTGAGCATCTCTTACCATTTACGAGATCCCATATACATAGCCTCGAATTTGAGTAGCCCTGTGTATAAGATATAACATTTGAAGCTAAAATACCAGTCAACGTTTTAAAAAATTCAAGTAAAGTACCTTTTGTTGGTTCATCATCATCATCCAAAATGACGACATCAGCATCATCTGACTGATCATTTTTCTGTGATTCCTTCAACACTTTTGTAGGTTCAGTCAAAACTGACTGTGTCAATGGCTCCAAAGAGGAAGGAACAGAAGGAAGCGAAAATTCATCTGATTTTCGTTCTATAATAGCAGCAGCAGGTAAATTGTCATCAATTTCCATAGGATCATCAACGTCCTCTTCTATATCCATGATAAGTTTGTTACATAAAAAAATGTTTCTAAACACTGTGACACATAGGGCTTAGGACTATCAAAAGTTCAACAATGTTGCTTTTAACATATAACCTTAAAAAAAAACCGGTAGCATTTCTAGAATTAAAAAAGATATCACTATTGAATTTAGCGAAATTATAATAATTGATATTTACTCCGATTCAATTCAAAGAGTTAAAATACATTTCTCTCTTTTGTTTAGAAAGTCTATTCGTAAAATACACAAATTAATATCAATTTTCTTCTACGATACAGTGTTGCCGTTTCTAACATGACCACAGTATAAAGCCACAGCATAGGTGTTAACAATGGGTGATGGGTGTTACCTATGCTGTGATATTACCATCCGAGGTGTAATGCAACAAACATCCTCCAGAGAGCGTTGGCAATTTTCGTTTTCTGTTGCTGTCGCTACGTCCAAACTTATCAATAACCATTTTTAAAATGATAATGTATTGGGGAACGTAGTGTAGGGGAGAGTTCCCTTGAAGTGGACAACCCATGAAACGGACACATCGGTTTATGCATGTTTGGTTGCATACTTACCTATTTGTAATGCTTACTGTATATTAGTTGACCATATAACACGTGTTGGTGTTAGTATCGGTGCGTCAGCGTTATCGTTTGGTATTAGTACACTCAGTGAAATATTTGTGGCAAGCAAAGTAAATATTTACCTGTTTTAACAATTTATTTAGACTGGCTATTTTTGAAGATATCCGAAAAATTTTTGTGTTGGTTGTTTGCTTACTAGGTCTAGTTTCACCCAGGTATGTTGATCTCATTTATATTTTAAACCATAAAAGTAAAAATACGTGTTCACTTTAAAGTAAATAAATCCATGAATTGGACACCAACGGTATCCATGAATCGGACGTCCGATTCATGGGAACCGGAGTGTCCGATTTAAGGAAACAAGGAATAAAGTTCTGAGTAAAATAGTTGACCGACTTTTTTTCTTTTAGGCTTGGCTTATTATGTCAAAGCGAACAAGAAAGACTGACGAAGAAATTCGTAAAGCTGTAAATGCAGTTGTAAACCAAGATTTGTCGATTCGGAGTGCAGCTAAAAACTCCGTCATTTCAAAGTCTTTATTAGCTGTCCTTGTAAAAAAAGCGAAAAGTGCGCCTGGCAATGAACTTGTTTACAACCGCAATATTGGAAACAGAAAAACTTTTTCGGCAGGACAGGAACAATTATTAGTTTCTTACCTTAAAACAACATCGAAAATGTGTCATGGCTTAACTACCACGCAAACAAGAGAGCTTGCATACCAGTTTGCATTGGCGAACAACATACCTATCTATTCCACCAGAATGGAACAAAAATTCTAAAGCTGAAATTCACTGGCTTCATGGGTTTATGAAACGCAATAAGGATTTGTCGCTCTGTCAGCCAGAAAATACGTCTCTAAGCAGAGGATCTAGTTTTAATAAATCAAATGTAGGCACCTTTTTTTCCAAATTAGAAAGCTTGTACAAGAAATATGGGTTTTCAGCCAACATGATTTGGAACCTGGATGAAACCGGTTGTATGACAGTTACAAAATCACCAAAAGTTATAGCAGTAAGGGGTTCCAAACAGGTTGGTCAAATTACATCTGCCGAAAGAGGAACGCTTATCACCACACTTTTTTTAATAAAAGCTGCCGGCAGATCACTGCCACCTGTATTCGTGTTTCCTCGGGTTTATTTTAAGGACATTATGCTTAAAGATGCACCGACAGGGTCTAAAGGCTCCAAAGCATTTTGTTAACCATGTTAAACATACGAGTGAAGATAAAGCTTTGATTATTATGGATAACCACATTACTCATGTGAATATACAAGTAATTGATTTTGCAAGAAAAAATAATATAATCATTTTAACACTCCCTCCCCACTGCAGTCACCGTATGCAACCACTTGATGTGGCAGTTTACGGCCCTTTTAAGCCAAGGTACAAAGTGGCATTAAATAATTGGCTTCTCTCAAATCCTGGCAAAACCGTTAGTCTATACGAAGTTGCAGGATTTGTTAATGTTGCATATAGTGAATCTTTTTCAATAAAGAATATTTGTAAAAGCTTTCTGAAAACAAGAATATATCCATTTGATTCATCAATATTTACTGAAGACGACTTTCTGGCATCATCTGTAACCGACAGGCAAAATCCTTGCAACAAAGAAATCCAAGAACAAGACATTCAAGACAAGAAGTCCAATGATTTATCTGAAGTTGGAGGATTGGACATAGTTTCTCAGTCAACTTCTAGCTTGAACACTTCAAATTCCTGTGAGCAGACCGCCAAGTTTAACAGCACCTGTTTGGAATTTATCCCCTCAACTAGCTCTGACCATTCAAGACCTTGCTGTTCTAAAAGTGTGGAGAACTTAAATCGATCAAATACATTACAAGATCGAGCTGAACTAAATCTAATTTCACCTGAAGTTCTTAGACCCTATCCAAAAGCAATGCCACGGAAATCGGTCCGAAGTAAAAGAAAAAAAGGAAAAAGTGCTGTTATAACTGGCACTCCCGAAAAAGATGAACTTATGAGAGCATTTGAGGAAAAGGCGAAGAAACGAAAAACAAATAGAGGCTCTCAAAAAGCAAAAGTATCATCAAAGAAAACTAAAAAGAATATAAAGTTACCAAAAGTTGCTAAAAATGATTACGATTCTGATACTGATATATCCTCGGAAATATCACTACACGATGAGTCTCCGACACCTGCTAACCTAGAAGAATTTTGTGAAGAAATGGTGGAAAAGAATAAAGATGATTCATGTGATCGAGAAGGTGAAAAGGAAAATTCGGTTTGTCCAATCTGTCAAGGTGAATATCAAAACAGCAAAGAAGAATGGCTCCAGTGCAAACTTTGCACGAAATGGGCTTACAATTCTTGTGGAGTTCTGGGAAAGTTAAATTTTTTCTGTTACAAATGTTTTTAAATTTTTATACTGTATTGTAATCAGTTAATTATGAAAACCGTATAAAAATCGTCTAGTGTCCATTTCATGGAAACAACCGTCCGTTTCAATAAGAAAAATAAAATTTTAAACCTTTTTATAACTTTTAAGTGTAGAAATATAAAGCCTGATTTTCTGACGTGTTGATATAAATATTTCAATTCCTAAATGATGAATCGTTTAGCCGCTAGAGCCATTCCAATAAAAATGTCCAGTTCAAGGGAACTCTCCCCTATCTTATCGAATTATATTTTTGCTTCTGAATAATCCAAGGGTTTCAACCCTTAAAACCAACCGCGATTTGACCGATTAATATTAGAAAAGGAGAACTGTCTTCAGAATTGTTCACCTTACCTTTCTTCTGGGCGGATCCCTGGGCGACGAAGAATTTCTAATCCAGGCCTTTTCTACGGTCGAGTAGGTAATGTGCACAACACAAGTTTAATAATATTTTATTGGTTTTCGATCGACTGAGGGTTTTGGGGAATTTTAGAATGTCGAAGATATGTTGACCCGTCGTTCACCCTTTTTGTCTCTGCCAAGTCGAGATAAAGACTTTGTTTTCCTGTACTCTTTTTTGATTAAAAGATATCGCAGCAGATTGGACCAGTAAAATTTGAAATGAAATTATTGTATAAAGAAACGAAATTGTATAAAGAAACGAAACGTATAGAGAAAAGAAAATGATTCTTGAAAAATGGTAATATATATTTTTCCCCAGATATTGACTTAACTTTATATACATATAAGCGAAATATCAACATTCCGCCCACCTAAAATACGAGAAGTATTTCACATCTCGTCCGATGTAGAAACTACAGGCAAAGGGCATAGCTTCACCAGTCTTTTCAATAAACCCGTGTTAGTCTTTACCATAGCTACACGCGCAACGCCATCGTGTCCTGGATAAAGTTCTACAATTCTAGCAATTTTCCACTCAAGAGGTGGAACTAATTCATTTTTTATTAGAACTGAGGTATCCCGACTGACATTGTGACAACTAGTAAGCCACTTATTTCGTTGTTGCAACGTATTCAAATAAGAGTCATGCCAAATATCACGTGTGAGGCGCTGCACTAACAGCCATCTACTAAGATGATTAAGATAAGTCTGGATCGGGAATAGTATTAAGCGGTTCCTGAATCAGAAAATGTCCCGGGGTCAAAACGGATAAATCATTTGGGTCATTACTGAGAGGACAAAGAGGACGTGAATTTAGAATAGCCTCAATTTGACACAGAACGGTTTATAACTCTTCATAACTCAATATTTGCGAACCAATAGTTCGAATAAGGTAGTTTTCCACTGATTTGATGCCAGCCTCGAAAAGACCGCCAAAATGAGGTGCTGACGGGGGGTTAAATGACCATTCGATGCGCTCAGTTGAAGCGGCTTGTTCCATAAGTCTGTTGAGCTCCCTATGAGCTCCAACAAGTGCAGTTACATTATCAGAAAATAACTGACTACAGCGCCCTCGTCGAGCTACTAAACGTTGAAGAGCGGCGATTATTTCATTTTTATTTGCAACATTGGCTTCTGCTTGTTTTCTTAGATTCACAACAAACAATCCATTTTCTGTTTGTGTTATTATAATTTTATCATCTTTCAAAATATCTACTCTTCCTTTCTTGAATCTCTAGCTGTAGATTTCATTGCACCACCTTTCTTTGCACTAGAGATGTTGGTCACAGTATTTACAATGTCACTCAAATTTTCTTTTGAATTGGTGAGATGAGTAGTGCAAGCACTATCTATACAATACAAACATGAATCATTGTTAACAGCTGCAAGAGCAGTTTCAGTTAAACAGGCCATTTCTTCATTGTTTGAACAAAGAGTGGTTTCAGTTAGGAAAACCACTTTTTCATTGTTAGTTTCACTTTGATCTAAGAAGCAATCAGACTCAGGGTGGTTGTTTCGTTTACTGTAAGTACAAGGAGCAAAAGACTGTTTATATTTCACCTTTGTCCTTTTCTTCAGATACTCTTTATCACTGTGATTATCTTTATTACATTCCTTACACCATTTCTTCTTTGGGCATTTTGGTTTAATGTGTCCTGGTTCACCGCACTTGTGACAATCTTCCCCTGTTTGTTAGGGTTTTTATTATTCTTATTCTTGATAGCAGCAAACGCTGTTTTAGAGTCATCTGTGGAACTCTGTTTCATCTTGTTTACATTATCTTCTTCAGATATCAATCTTGGGATCTTTCAAAAGTTTTTTCAGCTTCAGGGGTTGATTCCCAGTCAGTTCTGAACACCGAGTAGTCATCAATGGGCAAGACAGCCAATACTTTGGCAATCTGCGTGGTTTCGGAAATTTCTTCTTTCAATTCTTTGAGCCTGAATGTAATATTCTTCAGATGACTAATATTCTGCATCATGTCTTTGGATTTGTGATAAACAAACGTGTGGTATTCCATCAGCTATTGTTGTTTCAGCTAACTACAGTCACGACGGTATATTGATTGCAATGTGTCGTACATTTCTTTTGAAATTTCACAAGTAAGGATGTGGGACTTCACTGTTTTATCAACAGTTCTGGAGATGAGGCTTTGTGCTCTTGCATCATTGTAGAGCCACTCTTCTTTCTTTGTTGCATCATGCTGAAAGCTTTTCATCTCCACTCACAATCTTCCACAATTTCTTAGTCTTAAGTAAAAGCATCATATCAAAGTTCCAGTGCTAATATGATTCAGCATTTGACAGTCTTGGAAAATTGATGAGAGCAGTATCATCGTTTCTTCGTCACAATGGACCGCTTGGGTCGACGTATCAATAGGTGTCTTGTAACTCACTTATCTTGACAAATTTATAACAAACAGTGATATTTGGCATCACTGGGCCCATAATCTGTTACGAATATTTAGTTTTTCTTACTTATTTTCAATTAATTGCTTTAGTTTTAGACTTAAATATGGTAAATTTTCGTTATCTGGACACCCGGCGATTTTAAAAAAATTTTTGACTGTTGTTACGTATTTTGATGCGTAGATTACGAATCCGAAAGAAAAAAGCGGCGCTCTCCCTTATTTAAGTTAATTTAGTGAAAAAGAAGGCTGAAAAGTTGCCCTTTTCTGAACTTTGAAGGGCCGTAACTTTTTAAATAAGGGAGAGCGCCGGTTTTTTTCTTTCGGATTCGTAATCTACGCATCAAAATACGTAAGTACAGTCAAAAATTTTTTCAAAATCGCCGGGTGTCCAGATAACGAAAATTTACCACACAATATTACCAACATTCATTTTTGTCTGGACATTGCCAACATAACAATATTTTGACACAGTCCCAATGACCACAAATGCTGAATAAGATGTTTGGTAAAAAATGTCAAAGGTGCCAAAAAAACCAAGTGGATCAAATACTCGCGCCACAGATGACAAAATTGTCCATTTTGTACAGGGACGGTCTAAAGATTCAACTGTATACGAAAACGAATCACAACCTGGGTTCCATTTTAGACCTAGAATTTTTATAAAAGATATTTCTTCGGCATTGAAAATAAGAGACTGCTGCTGTCCATGTTCAGGAGGAATATTTTCAAGAAGTGAAGGATGATTGGCAGAACATTTGCGAAGTTCAAAACCTCCACTTTGCATGAGTGCAATTAATTCCGACTGAAGCTGCTTAGCTTCATGCAAGTTTGGGATACTAGATACGATATCATTTATATAAAGATCAGAAGCTAAGGCTTCGGCTAATTGCATGACTGTTCTAAGAGCTAAATATGACGAAGAGGAAACTCCAAAAGTGACAACTTTAAGAGCATAGGATTTTATTGGATCGTTTGGGGTAAAACGCCAAAGAATAGGTACGTTGGTATTCTCGATGCTCAGATGCCACCATAATTTGACAGTACATTTTCTTGACATCTGCTGTGAACGTGTAAGGATGCAAATTCAGAATAATCGTAGAAATATCATTTTGTAATTTTGGGCCTGTTAAAAGAGTGTCATTAAGGCTTAGCCCAGCCGCGTCCTTACAAGATGCATCGAACACCACTCGCACTTTGGTCGTAGTACTTTCTGGCTTGACTACACAATGATGTGGTAAGTAGTACGTAGAAGGACGGTCAGAAAACGGTACTTCTTCCATGTAGCCAGAATCAACAAATTCTTTTATGCTCTCTGAATATGAATCGAAAAGAAGTTCATCTTTTAGAAGTCGACGTTCCAGTGAACAGAATCGTCTTAATGCAATCGAATAGATATTTGAAAAGGAAGGTTTGCCATTTTTGAAAGGTAAAAAACTTTAAATCTACCTGAAGTATCTCTCGAATGAGTATTTTGGAAGATCGATTCACATAAAGTGTCTTCGGATGAGTTGATCTCGACAGAAGGTATGTCTTCAACCTCCCAAAATCTTTTCAAAGTTGTATTAATTTCAGACTCTGAAATAATGAAAGAAGAACTGACTGAATTAGGATTTGTAGAAGGTTGCAGATCTCCTGAGAGAATACAACTGAAGCAAGTGTTGAGACATGAAGGCCATACACTATCACCCACGATACGTCCATCTCGCAAAATCAAGGGATAAAATCCCCCCACCAAGTAGTAAATCTATTGGTGCCGGAATGTTGAAATCAGGATCTGCTAAGTTCAAATTTGCAATATTCTGAAAAGTGTTTTTGAGAATAAATTTAGTGGGCATCTTAGAACATACTTTTGTCATAACAAGAGCCTCGAAATAGAAAATAGGATGGTTTTGATTTTGTGGTCGATTTTTACATGAAACTATTTCTGAACTTGGGGTTTCGATTTGTCCTTCTCCAAAAATGGTCCTAGAACTTGGCATTTTTGAAAGGAATAAGCGGCTTACATATTTTTGTCTAATAATATTTAACTGAGAGCCATTATCGATAAAAACCCTGATTGGTTTATAACAACTCCAGGCATAAAGAATATCCAATATTGCACTGGAGAGAAGAGTTGTCGAAATTTTATTGAAGGTCGGAAGTGCCACCATATTACATGGAGGAGTTTCCGCAAAACTCTCACAGGAAACATGAAGCTATGTGTGATTTTTACCTTGATGACCACACACCCTGCAAGAATCTTGTGATTTACAATCGTGAGCTTTGTGTCCATTATGGAGGCATTTCGTGCACCAATTGTTTTGAACTACCATTTGAAGTCGCTCAATAGGCGTTTTAGATAAGAATGACGGACACTTGTTAATCGAATGAGGTTCCTTGCAAATTGGACATAAAGATTTTGAATTTTTAGACGTCTTTACAAGAAAAGTATGTTGATTGGAATCATTTCGTTTGGGTTTATAATTTGAATGTTTCGAGAAGTTTGAATTTCTTGAAGAATTTGAATTTTTTGAAAGGTTTGAATTTTTTGAAAAGTTAGTGTCTTTCGGCAACATTAACGAAACTGATTCGAGAGCTACACATTGTTTCTGCAAAAAAAAAGTTTCAAGTAGTAGTAGTAGTAGTAGTAGTTTATTTGACCAGATTATGTAGTTTATACATTTATGGCAAGTCACAGTAAATTCACAGTCATATTAGTCAAATCAAAATTAAAAAATATATAAAAATATAATTAAAAGAACAATTAACGTCTAGTAACAGATTATCAATATATAGTATAAGATTTAAAATTTAGACATGAGCAATATATTTTAAAATACAATAAAAGATCATGGTTAACCATACTTATGATAGCTCATAAGGCTTAAAGTACCTAACTGAGTCCATATACTCATCGGTACTGTAAAAGCAATTTTCTAGTAGGTAATTTTTTAGGACTAATTTAAATTTTTTGAATTCCAATATTTTGATAGAGTGGTGGAGAATGTTATATAGATTCAGATTTAGGGAGTTTCTGCGGCTTACAGATAACCTGTGATAACGAGTATTTAGTAAGTCAGCTGATCTGGTATTGTGGTTATGGATGTCGGAGTTTTTTAGTAAAGTATCTTTATTGCGATGTATTTCTAGCAGAACAGTATAAATATATAAAGTAGGCAGAGGCATAATATCCAGACGAATAAAAAATTGATGGCAGTGGTCTCTGTATCCCAGGTTAGCCAAGATGCGTATGGCTTTTTTCTGGCATCTGAAAGCAGCAATTGCGTTAGTAGAGTTTCCCCAAAGGAGAATACCGTACGAAAGTACAGAATGAAAAAGGGAAAAGTAAGATATTCTCATAATATAAGGGTTCGTTACATGTTTTAACCTTCTCAGAACGAAGAGAGCACAAGATAATTTGCGAACAGCAAGGTCAAGATGATTTCTCCAGCTTAATTTGTCATCAATCATAATGCCTAAAAACGATACATTTGCCCCCTCACGATAATTATTGTTTGTGGAGACAATCAAATTTTGGGTTTTTCTTTCATTCAATTTGAGTTTATTCTTCGTGAACCAAAGCTTAGCTGAGTTTTGTACTGTGATGACAGAGTCTTTCAAGTTATTGTAAGACTTGCTTGAGCAAATAATTGTTGTGTCGTCAGCGAATAGAAAACATTTAGTAGGTGCAATGGCGTGGCATAAGTCATTTATATACACAATAAATAAGAAAGGTCCCAAGATTGAACCTTGAGGGACGCCATGCTCGATTTTTTTCAAATCAGATTTTACATTGTTCAGCTCAACACACTGAAATCTGTTTGTAAGATATGAACGAAGGAGTTCCAGGGTAGTGCCCCTTATGCCATAATAACTTAGTTTTTCAATAAGTAGGGAATGTGAAACGCAATCGAAGGCCTTGGTCAAGTCGCATAATGTCAGAGAAGTATGCCTGCCCTGATCAAGGGTCATCACCCGAAGACGATTGTAGATACCAACAATCGAAACGTCGTGAACTAACGTGACTTGGAATCTCTACACTTTTTTATTTTTATTATTTTCTTTTTTCATTCCTTTAATTTTTATTTATTCAATTATTATATTTTTTACTTGTAGGTTATTTCACTATCATTTCATTTCAGGTTTATTGTTGCTTAATATAATTGTTATTTTCAACTATTCTTTTTTAATTACTCTTTTTTACTTGTTTCAGGGATTTCAAATCATTTTATATAGTAGACAATGGAAGTCCGAACTAGTGAAACTCTTCAACCAATAAAGTGGAAAACATCAGAGACAAAACGAATATGTAAAATACCCCCAAAATTATTTATAATATTTGAAAAAACAAAAAAAATGCGAAAATGGATGAACAAATGTATTGTAGCGTTAAGTCGACGGGCATTTTGTTCTTTCTATAAATATAAAATGAAAGGTCTTATTATTTACTATAAAATTCTAGATGGCCTAATCTGCTGTTTTTAGAGTATCCGGCTCGAAAAGAACCATAATATATGATTGATCCAAGGATTTCAACCCTTAGAACCAACCGCGATTTGACCGATTAATATTAGAAAAGGAAAACTGGGTTCAGAATTGTTCACCTTACCTTTTTTCTGGGCGGATCCCTGGGCGACGACGAATTTCTAATCCAGGCCTTTTCTACGGTCGAGTAGGTAATGTGCACAACACAATTTTGATAATATTTCATTGGTTTTCGATCGATTGAGGGTTTTGGAGAATTTTAGAATATCGAAGATATGTTGACTCGTCGTTCCCCGTTTTGTCTCTGCCGAGTCAACGAGATAAGTACTTTGTTTTCCTGCACCAGTTTTTATCGTACTCTTTTTTGTTTGAAAGGTATCGCAGCAGATTAGACCAGTAAAATTTGAAATGAAATTATTGTATAAAGAAACGAAATAAAGAAAATGATTCTTGAAAAATAGTAATATATAGTAATATAGTATATATTTTCTCCAGATATTGACTTAACTTTATATACATATGAGCGAAGTATTAACAATAATGTATTGGGGAACGTAAAAATATTTTTGCTTCTTTGAGTTCATTCAAAATGGCAATGATTTCATTGTTGTGCGAAGTATTTCCTGCATCTCGAGAGGCTATCAATAATTTGAGACGTTCACATAGCTCGTTGGGATCGTCCCAATAAATGTATTCAATGGGTTTTGTATTGAATGCCATCACAAGAGGTGATGTTTTGGGTAGACATGATGTCACCGCAGTAGTAGTAGTATTTTAGGTTGATAATGTTGAAAAACCACCATTTTCATAATTTGTTGATTTGTTTTCGTTCACATCGTATATGTTTATAGGTAGTTAAGAGATTAATTTTGACATAATAAAAGTGTGAGTTGAGTTGTCTAAAATAAATACATTCAATCAAGAGTTTACTTGAGATATTTCTTCTACTTCAACATGGTAGCAGAGCGTAGTTGGTTAGCCTGAGGTTCCGGAGTATAAGAAATATTTGCAAATTATAAGAAACTGCTGAAAGTTTCTTGCTGAAAATTTTTGACATTGACAAGTGTTCAGTTTATTTAGCTGAATCCAAGCTCTACCAAAAGCAAAATGGATGCAACTGAAATACAAATAGGATTACTTGAGAGCTAGTCAAACTGGTCATCATGGAAATACAAGAGCAGCTTACTATTGTGATGTGTTTTGTGACACAAGTTATCTATATCAATATTGTTAGATTGGCTACAGTGACTGTCGGAACTACCTGTCATATTGTAAGTCTACAGAGATGAATAAAGGTAGTTGCTCATGGACATGCGACTAGAAAGTATCACGAGTTTCATTCAAAATATAACAACTATTACGAAGTATTCAAGGCGGTACTGGGGTAGTTGAAGGAAAATTAACTTTACCCTAACCTTTACCAGAAAACGCATCCCAAACTCAGAGAACAAAGTATGAGAAGGAGTTGAAAGACTTCAGTCAAGCAGACAATATAATGCTTTACTGGTTCTTACAGTAAATATGACTCAAGAAACGCTTGCTAAAGTGATGAGGTACACTAATGCTCGTGAAATGTGGCAAGAATTACACAGGCTGTATGATGGTTATGTTGAGGACAAAACATATGACACATGCATGCAATTCTTCAGCTACACACGACACGCAGAAGATGACATTCCATCTCATATTTCTAAACTCAAAAATCTTTGGGATATTCTGCAAAATGAAATCACCAAGGATAAAGTAGTAAATGGAAACATCTGTAAATGCCATCTACCAGAATTGTTGCAGATCTGCAAGATTTTGGGGACTATTCCTCCAGAGTATTTTTCGTTCAAGTCAAGTTGGATGTTAATGTCGAAGAACGAAAGAATAATTGACAGTTTAACTAACCAACTTTGTGCATACGAAAAACTTTATCATCCAAATCCTTGGTCGAAGAGGAAGTGATGTTCTTGGAAAATAAAGAAAAATTCAAAGGAAATCACAATATGAACCTGTTTTGTAAATATTGTAAACGAAAAGGACATGAAATAAAACACTGTTTCAAATAGAAAGCAGATGGAAAACCTCCAAAACCAAGAAATGAAAAACATGAAACTAGTGATACCAATAATGCCACTCTCGTAGCAGTAACTCCGTGTTGAATTCTAAGTGTGATAAAGACATTTGGTATGTTGATAATGGTGCTACGAATCATATCACCAATCAAAGTGATATGTTTCAAGAATACACACCTTTTGATGGAAATCACAGGGTCGCAATAGCTAATGGAGATTCAATCCCAGCTCTAGGTCAAGGTACTCTGATAGTGAAAGCTTGTGTAAACGGAAGAAAACAGATTTTCACCATGACAAATGTATGGTATGTTCCAGAAATAAACAAAAATCGTTTCTCTGTTTTATCCGTGCAAGGTAAAAACACGGATAGCCTATGTAGTATGATGGGTGTGTGTAACAAACAAAGAATTATACTGTGAGTGAAACTGTATTCATAAAATGTTTACTACTAATTAACGAGTGATCTAATTCTGTTTGGACCAACGTGTCAGATCGACTGATTGTGTTCGCGAAAGAATGTCACTCGGCTGTTTGCCACAATGATGCCAGACTCAATCACTGATACCACATCCTATTCATTTCAAGTGCTGAAAAATGTCAAATAAAACTCTCTGGAGAAACTATTTTAGTTGAAACAAGAAACAGATATTGAGGATTGTACAAACTGAATTTGAAATTCGTCAAACCCGAAGTTGCTGTTAATGTGAATACAGTTGGCAATGAAAACGTATTACAGCTGTACCACGAGAGACTTGGACACCAAAATAAGATACATGTGAAATCGCTACTTGAACGTGAACTTGGTATATATGTCAATTTGGACAAAGAATTTTGTGAAGGATGTGTTTACGGAAAAGCTCATATAATGAAGTTTGGTACCAGAGATAGAGCTGGTGTTCCTGCACAACGAATACATGCTGATGTATGTGTCCAGTTTAAAGATAATTTCAGTAGGTTCCGTTATGTCTTCTTCATTAAAGAAAAATCTGAAGTTGTAGAAAAACTGAAGAGTTTACTCGTAGAGATTAAAACTATGGAATACAACGTTCATGAATTCTTATCAGATGGAGAATTCTCAAATAGAGAAATAACCAAAGTTCCCAATAACTATGGAATACGACAAAGAATCATCATGCCCGACATTCCTCAGCAGAATGGTTGTGCAGAGCGCGATAATCGAACAGTAGTTGAAACTGCCCGAGCTTTGATACAGGCTAGAGAAGGACGAATAAGTCAAAGCTTGTGTGCTGAAATGATCAATACAACTGTATTAAACAGATCCGGTACATCTGGTATCAAAGACAAATCCCAGCT